AATGTTTCCCAGATCCTTCCGTGTACATATTTCATTATTAATGTGTCATGTATTTGTTGTGCGCTCTTATCTACCATACATCATCATCCATCAACTCAACATTATATTGTACAGCTGCTCCTCACTTATACAGAATTTTCGTTCTCAACTAATTTATCTTCTGAAGAAATGTTCACGGTATTGTTCCGGATAACGTTACGCTAAAGTAACTTCTTATGATAGCTTGCATTTTAAATAATCATAAGTTCAGCAATGAAATAGTAAGATATTATCATTAATACCGCAAATAACTGCCTTTCTAAATCTTTGACAAAATTATTGAGTTGCTTTATGATAAGAATGATAATACATACTGATATCACTGAGGGAAGTACACTGAACAATTATGGCACATTGCTTCATTTTCTTACTCTTCACTACAACTATGTTAATTAATGGTATAGATTTTTAACTAATTTAATTTTAATTGCAACCGTTAGTTTTTGATAAAATCACTCTGAGTAGTTGAAATATTATTCAATAGTTTAGCAAATTGATTAATATCATATAGATGTATAGTATCAGCGAATGCTGAATAAATCTTTTGTTGTTGTTTATTTGATGAAACTTTGAGCATTCATTAAATAAAATTTCTATTTTCATCGTTAAATACTGCAAAGAAATTGTAAATCTGTCACTTATGATAATACAATTAGGACGAAGTTAAATTGTATCACTAATTTATTTTAATTTTACAATATTTATTGAAATACATCGTTATGTTGTCAGGAAGCTATAGCTTAGAATTGTTTTTAGAAGGATAAAACTTTACACTTAGTTAACTTATGAATGACTAACATGTCTTGCCAAAATTTTTTAAAACTTTCTTCTTTTTTATTGACATGCATATCTTATAGTTATGCAAATTTCTATTAGATAAGTCAATCATTCTAATTTATGTTTTTAAATATATCGATAATGATATCAAGAATTATGATAGCATCTTATATATTTGTAGTAGTATTATTCTAACTACTCTTCATAAAATAAAGGTGTAAATCAACCGCACTTTAAAATTAGCATTGAGTTATTGTATGAAAACTTGAAATATATAGTTCTTATCTTTGATAACCGTTTATGAGGTCGTGTTCAGCAAGGAGAAATGATATTAATCAATTGAAAAAGGATTATGTCAATACCAATAACGGTCTCACTGCAACATTATTTACTCACTTAACTGTCGTTTAATTTTTTAAATTGAAAAAAAAAAATGTTGAAATTTGCATTTATAATGTGAGATATTTGATACAATATTCTGTTAGACCTATATTTTAATTGTTGAAAATTTTTTGCTGAAAAAGAAATTCATTCGAAAGGATTTCTTATTTATATCATTTTCATCCCTTTTCTATATCAAATAATATCGCTCAAAAACTAACGAAATTTTGATTTTGAAAACTAACAATTTTTCGTATTTGAAAATTAATTATCTGAAAAATGAATCAATAAAAATAATGGCCTAATTCATATCATATATGAATGTGCTTTTTTTATCACTTCGATTATGAAGATACTTAGTTGGTTAAAAGATTTTCATTACTATTCATTCCGAATAATTCTTATGTAAAAAATTTCACAGCAAATTGAAATGAAATGTAAAAGCGAATTAATGAATTAACGAATTAATGATAATCACTTTGAAATAACGCTTTTATACAGAAAATTTTGTGTACAAACAATTTTTGAAAATATCGAATCATTCGCTGCGTATTTCTTCTATTTTCATTTTCAACAATTTCATCATAATTCTTCTTAATTTATTGTTTTAAATTTGTCGTATGGAAATATGTTAAAGTTTGTACATATATGTTCCTATGCAATAAACTTAGCCGAAGTTTTTAGAAGAATCTTTTTTAATGTAAAATTTTAATTTTTAATAATTTTTCATTGTTTATTATAATTTGAAATCAAAATAATTAACTAATTCATTTCTACATTCGTATTTTATTTTTCCTTCAATTATTGAAAATTTTTATCTTTGAAGCTTTCATTATTTCTATTCGTGGAAAATGATGAATGGAAGGCATCGCCTTATAAGCCTTAATTATTAGATGACAGTTGCTTATTTACATTTTGCCTTTAGCAATTGCCATTGAAATATAAAAATCCCTTTTTTCATTTCATTTGCATATCAGTATCCGTGCGATTATTTTATGTTGACAATGCCTTATAAGAAGAAGCATCTAAATTCTAAATTTACAATTACAGGAAATGGATAATAAAATTCTAAAGTAATTAAATTAGATGAATTGAAAGGAAGTTATTGTATATTCTGCAATATTGAAACTGATATCATTTCTTACGTTTAAGCATTTCTTATTATCTTTTTTTAATAATTAATTTTTACTTATTGTACTATGCAAATTCGATACCATTTTAAGAAGAATGGAAATTTTGATAAATTATTTTTCTTTTAATCATCTTGTTTCTCTCTCAAAGCATTCATTCCAACTTTTTGTTTATTCTCACTTTTTTGTTTACAACTTGAGATATGAAGAAATTTAAATTTGTTTACTTTTAGCTTATATCATTTTTCACAAAAGTTATTTATAATTTATTTTTTCATTCTTTTTAATAAACATTCACTTTTTTGCAACGAATGTCTTCATTGAATTATTTTTTTCATTTTATCTCTTAGTCTTATTTTACTCTTCTACGGTTATGCGATATTATTCTAATAATAATGATAATGATAATAATAATAATGATAATGATAATGATAATAATAGTAATAATAATAATAACAATAACAATAATAATAATAATAAATGATAGGAATAAAGATTCTTCGTTCTTCGTTTTATTGAAATAAGAATTAAGAAAAGGTTATTTAAAAGAAGGAGCAAAAGTTAATTGATGGACCTTACAGATTTCTATAATATTTCTTTGTGACGATGTTGATAATGTTAATGAAGTTAATGAAGTGATATTATAGCACTAAGAACAGGAAATAATAATTCGATCATTTATGATATAATGTATTTTCAATCTTTTTCTCACCATTCTCGAGAATCTTCACCACCATAAAGACGGCATTTATTATTTTGATTACAGACAGCGTTACAGCAAACATATATTATTAATAACATTACGTTAATTCATTATAATTATGATTTATCAGCATTACAATTGATATAATAATATTCATTGTATTTCGATCATAAATAAATTATATTTACTTTAATTGCGTATACTTCAATTATTTGTATATTACGTTGAGATACTTCTCTTGATGATAAGATGAATGAGTTTATAAAATTATGGTGAAATTTTTTAATAAATTCATTTTATTAGTTTTTAACGGACAGCCATACTTTCTCTTATATTATTACATTATTTGTTTAATTTTATTTGAAACAAAGAATAAATTTTTTTTGATTTTCCTTTTCCTTTTTTCCTAATTCATAGCTGCAAAGAGCACAACAAACCGAATTTTCAGTTTAAATTAAAGCACCATATTTTACCATCGTTGCCATAATTTCCGAGATATCTTTTATTGTATTGGTTCAACTGTGATATTTATTTAGTTATTCCGACAATTTGAAATTTATAATATTTTTCACATCCGATTTCATCATCGGATTGCATCATTTCATATTGCCGTATTTACCGCAAAATCTGAAAGTGTTTATGGTATCGAAAGAGGCGGAAAAATGTCATCATGACCCATTATTTTGTATCGATTGCTGAAAGAGTAGCCTAATGAGGCTAAACATTTGCTATATGTAAATGTGAACCCAGTGAAGAGATCACGTTAAATCTAATAAAAAGCTCGTAAGAGACAATTATGCAAGCAATTCCTCATTGTAATCGCCAATAAGAAATCATAATCTGTCATTCGGTGATAACGTTGTAAATCTCAATCGTCGTAATTTCATGACAACATCTGCCACCCATTTAAAACAGTTGTTAAAGCATTTGAAATATTATTACTGGTACGAAATTTTTACGTTTAAATTTGCAATGAATACTCCTTAAAGTTTACTTTTGGGAATTCTACTCATTTTTATTTAGATTTCATCATTTAAGCAGTTAAATGAATGCGTCATTTATTGACTGATTCATGATTTAAACCTAAAATTGTAAAGTCTCACTGATAACACTTCCATTTAAGATTGCTTTATCTCCTCTACATTATAATAATAAACATCATTATTTCTTTTCATAATAATCAATTTTACAAAATAAGTTTTGATATTGACACCCTTTCCCTTACTTCATCTTTTTTCTTTATTGTTACTTTTTAATTTAAAAATTTTATATTTATAACTTTATTTAATTGTTTACAATTTAACAATCAATTCCACTCATTCTGTTTACATGAAGAGGTTACATTTTGTTCAGACATCACTGACCGATGAGATTAATTTATCGGTATGATAAATCTTTTCTTTCATAATAACTATCTCCGATGGACGTTGATTAACTGGGATTAACTTCGTGACGCCGAAAGACCATGCAAATTCCAAATGAGGCGTGGATGGAATCATTAAGCTAAATATTTTCAGGAATCAACCAGATGACTAGCGCATTCTGATTACCGTCCTTTCTAATGATAAGCTCCCTCTATTTTTTCTCTACCCTTCCTCCATTTGCGCAAACAAATAATTAGTTTGAATTTTTCAAATTCGAAGTTAAAGGCGAATTGATTACAGAAGGACCAAAAAGTGGTCCTATCATTTCGATTGGCCCCTCCATATTGGACCACTCTTTTTCTATCAGTTAGTAATTTCGACAATTTTGGACACTTACCAGTTAAAACGAGCCACACCCATCCGTCTCTTCTGTCTTCGCAAACTTTTATCCAAATACACCACTCAATCCTTTACTTGGACAAAGATAGTAGCTGTGCTGACCACAACTGTCGGTAACACTTCTACACGCCCGATTATTTCTCCTTATCTCTATCCATACTGTTGTTTGCAACGAAGGAGGATTGTTGTTCATTCTAACAATAAACAATGGCTCATCTGATATCAGCTTCATTTGTTTTCATTACAATCATTGTAGTTTCAACACATGGCAATCCAAAGTATCAAAGATTTTTTGTAAATACGAAGTTAGTATCATTTCTGTCAATTTCCTTACAATTAAACGTTTTATAGAAAGATTTTAAATGTTTTATTGTTTCAAAAGAAAAATTTTATACTTCAAAGTTAAGATTAAACCGAACTTATGGAATTTGAATTTCAGGCAATGATAATTTAATCTTCGTAGAATTGGGTGGAAATATTTAGCTGTAATGAAGAAATGATATATTTTGAATATTTAATGAAATTAATTGAATTAAATTTAATATTCTATTTCATAGAAAGGGAAAGTTCGAAAAGAAAATTCATTCCAGACCATTAACAGTATAAGCTATCAAAATGGTCGTTTTTACCTTTCTGACAAAATTGTTTATTATTTATTGCAAAAGAAATTAATTCCATCAAAATTACTGAAATGAAATTTTAAAAAGGCGGAAATAAAATTTTGCAACACTAAAAAAGTCATTCTAGAAGAAATTTCATGAATTATTTTAGAAATAATCCATTTGGAAGAATTACTTCATTATATACAATTAATCTGCAGAGCTATAAATTTTGTGGATGCAACAAAAAGCGGCTTCCGAATTGTTTTATTGGATTCATTCCTGGATTCATATCTCACACCAATTCAGATTCCCACACTTTTCATAACTGCAGTACCACTAAGAGCTGAGGAATCTGCTGCTACAAAAATATTCTATCCAGACAATATTCGGAATGATAAACAGGTAAATTTATAAACTCGGTTATTAATCAAAAAGCTGAAACATTTTCAAAATTTGTTAATAATACTGTGATATTCTTTTGCGTGCATTAAAATATTAGAAAGGGAAAGAGAAAGAGGGGTTATTTTTACCATACAGCGGTATGATCCTTTCAACAACTATCCCATCATATCGTTCCGGAAATTAAAGCCCATTTTGCCGCACCTATAATTGGCATAATGGCTACAAGTACGTAACGGATTTGTTCTGATAATTATATGGTAAGATAGAGAGGACGTTAATATGATATCCATCACCACATCTTTGTCACAAAGGTTATGCGACAATATATGTCGTTGGTTTTATGAGAAATGGGTAAAAAAATTAAATTTCTTTCTCATTGTCATTTCATGAATTTAAAAAATTACTTAAACATTAATCGAACCATAATTTTATTAGACCATAATCTTGGCCTAATAAAATTATGGTTCGATAATATTTAAATTGAAGTTATTATCTATTAGAAGTTAGCAATGTGTTATTGCCAATCCCTAATAGATAATACTTCAATTTTTTAGAGTGCGAATTTATTAGAAAGGATTAAAAACTTAATCCTCTCAGGTGCCGGAATCAGGTTCCGACATGCAGCCTTGCTTACTTACTACCTTGAAATTTCCGAAAATTTATTGTTCCCTCAATTGACACATTTCAGGTGAGTGTATCAGATTTAAAAGAACGGCAATGGTACTATATTTGCGTTGAATGGGAAAATTTTAATAGACACAACGAATCAACGGGTACTGATTGTCGAACATTGCGAACATTGGATCGATTCGGGAAAAGCGCTGAAACGAGCGTTACTGATGTAGAAATCATCGATATTTCATCCACAACGATGCAATTCCGTATCCGGTCAGTTGTCGAATTTCCAGTGAGGTAATCATGCAATTTAACGATAGAATAAAAAATCTCAATAAATTACTTCGGAAATATTTTAAAAGTATACGGAATTTTATTATTATGCAATAATAAAAGCAATTTCTCGCGAAAAGCTATAAGTGCAACAATTTTTATTCAGAATTTTCATATTTAAATAATGAATATTTGGATTTCGATGGGTATGCTATAATTATTTCAAAATTTCATTTTTCAATTTCCACTTCTAATTGTATTTCGTTATTTTAGCAGACTATAAGTGATTCATAAATATCGCAAATTACTTGAAAAGTAAAGAAAGACCAAAACATAAACAAAAATAGGTCGAAATTTCTACTTATTTTCCAATAATTATGTTCGAAAATTAAATAATATTAAATTAATGAATGATATCATAGAATATTAAGAGTTTTAATTTTTAAATAACAAAATTATCTTATTTTGAGAAGTTTTATCACAGATGATTTAATTTCCTATTTAAAGATATTTTCAATATTTTGTTTTTACTTGTTAAGGTTAGGTTAGGTATAATCACTGAGGTCTATAATTTATAGTTATCATTTCTGGAAGAGTATCATTTTATAGTTACATTTCTTTCATTAGAAAATGATTAAAGAGATGTGAGAATTTAATTATAATTGAAGTGAAATTGTTGGGTAATATTTTAAAAATTAAATTAAATTCCTATATTTATCCTGTCCGGTTGGCAAATGCGATTATATAAAGTCTATTTGTTGTATTTGTTAAAGCGATTTATCGTTAAACCTACATTATATATATATGCATTATAATTGTTTCTAATTATACTATTCTTTTTCCTCATTTCTTATCTTCACTTTAAAAAATTTTAATTCAACCAATTAAAGAAATTCAAATTATCAAAAAAAGTTTTTTTCCTTCTGCTTGTTCAAATTATTGTATTTTTGACTGAATGATATTTGATTTATAAAATGGCAAATTAAGGCTAACTGCAACGTTGGAAAGTTCTACAATGGCACATCCAGCATCACAAACATTCGTCTTCCATGAACCTACCGATTTGGATGTATTTTTCCCGTTCCTGAAACATGATACTGACTACGGAAAGTTATGCATAGTTGAGGAACCATTAGTAACCGGTTACACAACAATGGGAAGATTAATTGATGATATGACTATTGAAAAGTGCTATTTTGGTAAGTAATTTCATCCATCTTTCGAACTCCACAATTCAAAACAAAAGTTTTCTTAAAATATACATAAACAATTCAAAAACGAGCCTATTTCTTTCTATTCTAATGCATATTTTTCTGAGAGAATTATATAAAAAGCAATGATATTCGCAGTGCTTGCGATAAAAAGGTTTAATAATACCATAAAATAATACAAATTTAATTAGCTTCCTTGCAGAAACAATTTGTTGAAAGTTTTTCCCTCAGAACTGCCACAAATGTGGAATAACATTGAAAAAGTGGCAGTTGAATTTAATGAGAAAGAATTTTTTAATTGCTTGACTCATTCAATTATGGATGGTTGAAATTTAAATTCAATTAATTATTGAACATCGACGAATGAGAAAACTGAGATCATTAATGCATTTGGCTAGATATATGCAAAAAGTGGCTAAGCTAAAGATTAATTTAATTTTAACCGTTTTAATGAAAAATCAAATTTTTCGTGCTACAAGAAAAACAATGCATATAATTAGTTCAAATTCTAAGCTTATCCATTTGGTGATAACACTCTTTATTACTTCAATTTCATTTAATTTTTTTCTATGACTTAACCTTAAATTATCTTTTTGCAGGTAAGCTCAGAACGAAAGATTACGAATTATCAACTTTTGATGTAGAAGCTAGCGCTTATAGGCGAGCAAGTTCATCCAGAAAATTCAATTATTCAGTTTTTACATTTTTATTTCATCTATTGGTTTTCTGTACTATTTCTATAACCAGGTGACCTTAAGACCACCCACCTGAATTTATTGTTAGTATTATCTTCCTCGAAATTCCCATTTTAAATCATATAACTTAAATGGATGTGCAGCTTTTGCCAAATTTTATATTCAAATCTAATTACAAATTTACATAAGTTCTTGCATTTCCTGTAATTCGGAAAAGTCTTGAAATTCGAAAATTAATTAGCTAATTATTTGGTTAATTTAGCATAATTGCTGGTAGTCTTTCTTGTTTCTGTGAAATCTTGACATTTGACGTTCTACTTGATTTTGAAAGTGTATGCGAGAAGATTCTGTTAACTTTTATAGGAAATAATGGAGATAGGAATATTAATTGTAGGGGTTAGTAGCAGAATTTATGCCATCTGCGATCCTATCCAATCAAATATTTACGCATTATTCCTGATGATTAATTTCTTCTTCCAAGAATTCATTCTTCCTGAATCTGTAATTTTCGAAAACACTAAATTCACCAATTGTAGATTTCATCATTTCTATCTCTCAATTTCATTTTCGATTTTGCGACTATTTTCACAAAACTTTAGAACTTTAATCATGGCTTACACTTGAAATGCACTCTTCTAGATATATCCATTAATTAATTAGTTGAACATTTTGGAAAATTGTGTGCCATATTCATTATTCTAAAAATTTAAGATTTTGCAAATTGAAGTGAGCAAGTTTTTCAAAAGTTCACTAAAAGAAGAATTTCAATTTGATGAACTTAATGTAAAAGTAGGTAAGAAAACTTTTATTCCTTTACAACAATTAGCCTCCCTAATTTATATTCCAAAGTTTTCTTGAAATTTTATAATAATTTTGTTTCTATATTTTCAGTAAAATATGTCTTAGCCTATAAAGAATTTGAAGTTCTTAATCTTAATTTAATTAGAATTTAAAGGTTTAAAGCTTATCAATTATTAAAAGTGAGGGTCAAATGATTAAAAAGTTGAAAGCTCTTCCCGTAATATTTGATAAATATTCTTTCTATTCACCTTTACAATATAATCTCAAATTATTACGTCAACGTCAACATTTTAAAGGATTGCGACTAAGCGATATTAAAAAGTTATAGTAATTGTCAATATATATATGTATCTATGAAATGTTTTTTACTGTTTGTCTGACTAGATTTTATTTCATAAAATTTATAAAAGTTAAAGAGGAAAGTCGATTTATTTTATCTTTTACAAACAAATAGCTTATATGTTGTTTGAAGAAAATTTTTGGTAATTCAATTTGAGAAGTGTAATTATTCTTGTAGGAATAATAATTTCTTATAAAAATAATTAGTGTCCCTTTGAAGTATTCTACCTGTTCTGAGGTTAATACTCATATATTTACTCTTTCATTATTAAATTCAAGAATCAAATTTTGAATTATTAATCGGCAATTTATTCAAAAAGCAATTAAAATATGTTAAGAAGACGTTTAAACTGTTTGCTGTTATGATATGCGGAAAATTTAATTTTGTTAGGATAACCGATATGTTATTAAAAGTTTCACCAGAAATTATATAAACAATGGTTTTATTTAATTAAACTTGTTTGAATACATTCCGAGACTGGATTAAAATCTTCCGAAATGAGCGTCTTTTGCATTTTCCGGTTAATATTGATGCCAAATTGTTAGTAACTATATTTTTGAACATGTATTTTGATAAATTTAAAATGCGCGACTTCTCGCACCTTATAATAAATAAATGTAAGTATAAGCAGCCATTAGAAGGATTATCGTTGAACTGGCCGAAAGGTTCAACAATAATAACACTGTAACGAACAAAGGGAATAATAAAATTTTAATAGTGCAATATCTCATTTATCTCATGTACGCTAATTTGCTAATTACTGCATGAAAAGTTCGACAAGTTCTTTTATAATTTCTATAAATACAAAAAATATATAAGCTAAAATGGTTGATTGATATGTTAGTGCCAAATGGTTTGATTATGAGAAAATAATTTAATGATTGTGGTAAAAGCTATGCGGTAGATAGTTTCCCTTTGTGTTTCTTCTCAAAAGTCTTCAATTAATTAGCCCCTACAAATTTTCTTCATTCGTAAAAATGATGTAAAGAGATGAAATGAAAAGAGAAAACATCATATCACTAAAATATCATAGCAATATTTGAACTAATATTTAAAACTATGGGAATTTAATGTTTTGGATAAGTTTCAATGTGAAAAGGAACGATGGTTGGTTGGTTGGTTGAGATAATGAGAATGTTATTGAGGAAGATATGAATGTACCGCGGAAATATTAATATTAACAGTTGATAGTAACAGAAATTTCAGTTTTCTTTTAGCTTCACATCATCTATGATATATTATTTACCACTATTTTTCAGTCCTTCTCAACTGTTTATTGAGAAATTAACGAAAGCATTCATTATTTAAACTCATAATATTTCTTTGCCAAAATCTACATGAAATATAAATAATTAAAAAAAGTTTTGCATTATTGGTAAAGGTTTTTGAACAATTACTTCTGTTGGCAATGTTTGACCTTTGAATTATCCTTTTATGCATTATTTGTTAGTACTGGAAGATATCTGAATGCTTAAGCAATGTGATGTTTGAATCTCATCACAAAATGGATACACCAGATGTATCGGGATAATAACAATTTCGGATCTTGATGGGTCTGGTGACTGAAAATAATCCAACAGATTAGAACTGGTTTAATTGTTTCTCTAAGCTATCATCTGGTAGTACAATTGGTGCAAAGTTGCTGAAGTCATACCGAAAGCTTAATTTACAACTTTATTATTGTTGTTGGTGCATTTCAGTTGCGCAACAATTACAACTTGCGGTGTAATTAAGAGAAGTAAGAGCCATTCAAGGATTAAATGGGATAAAAATTGTAAAATAAAATACACTGACAAGTTTCAAATATTTTGTTAGAAGAAAACATTTTTGAAAAAGAACATTGCCGATAGATTTTAGATTTGATTGTTATATGAAGGATGATTAAATCAAAAAGATTACAATAATATGCAAAATTCACGAGTTTCACGAGAATTTGAGCAATTTAAACAAATGAATTGTAAGATTTTTGAGGAATTGGGACCAAACGGATAGCATATAATATGTCTTACTGAATTTAATGAATTTAAACATAAAAGTTGAAAGTTTAAAGTTTAACTTAAAGTCATCGGTAAATTTTGTGCTTTATTCTTTCTAATGCCTCCCAGAATCTTTTCAAAAAAGGTGATTAAGCAAAAATTGGAAAATCCAATATCGGATTTCCCATAAAGAAATTAATGGTTAAGGTGAAAATTTTCCGTCATGTTACAATTTATCGCATCCGTTATTGGATTGAAAAAATTTTGTATTTCTTGCTAATGATCTCAATCAAATTTTGTTCAAATAGTTCGCAATAAATTATTGGGCAAAATGAGTCACTTCACAGTGACTGTAATTTAGAAACAAATTAAAAATTAAAACCTAGATAGGTAGGAGATATTAATTTGGCGAGTATAATTCTGATCACATCCTCAACATCATAACTTTCTCCCAAGTAAATGAGGCTGACCGAAATGAGTGCACAGACTGTCTCTACATCATTAAAGTATCCTTCCATCATTATTATCTATACCTCTTCATTATGACTGGTTGATTATATATTATAATTTTAAACAACTAAGGCTTACATTTTGATACATTTGGAAAAACAATTTTAAATATTTAAAATCTTACTTTTTTCGAGCATATACTTACGTAAAACGAGCTGTATTAAGACGGCGGGAAACATTAGGTAGATAATTTCACGCTTAATTATTTGAGATGATTAGTTGCAGATTATATTAATTAAAAGTTCGGGTTATAAATAGGTTATATCGGTTAAATAGATGCCTATTTTCTTCATTGGAAACACATAGCTGCTTCATTAATTATAATTATTCGTTTTAAATTGAAATGAATCAAAATTTTATTTGACATTATTGTATTGGGACAGATTGCATTAGTCACAATATGTGAAATAAACATTTTTCTTCAATCTGTTTGATTCAATTATTGTAATTAGTAATAATAACAAATAACGTTTAGTGATACGAAAAGTGAGAGGAATTATATGGAAGAAAATGCAATAATAAAAAGTTTTCACGAAATTTGCATAATGTAATAGACTCACTGACGATGAGTCATCATATCATTTGGAATATAAAAGGTTAAAATGCATAGTTGCATAGTTATTGAGGTTTGTAAATTTTCATAACTTAAAAGATTGAAGGAAGCAAAGATTCACATAGTGTTTTGACAAAATGAGAAAATGAAAAAATGATAGAAGAAATTGTTTTAGGAATTTATCAATAATCTCAAAAAATATTCATCATTCCAATCTTATCAGTTTCATTCAATAACTATAAGTAAAGCAATGAGGCAATCTTACAAAATGCAGCCTTCGCTTATATTATTAAATTATTTCAGCTATTAATACTCAAAGTTTATGCTTAAAGTAAAAAAATAAAATTTGAAAGCTAAAAAATTATTCCATTTATCAAAACAGTTAACTATAAAAATAAGTGTAATCACATATTACAATAACAATATGTAATGGTTTAAGTACCATTAAGTTATTTATGCGATACTTTGAAATAATTTATATTTTTAATAAAGTTGAAAATAAATTATTTTTTTGATTTATTAAAATAAAATTAAAAATATTAATAATTAAATCCTTTTCTCTCGGAAAAGAAAAAAGGTGAAATTAAAATATTAATTAGCAAAATCAAATGATTCATTTTGAAACCAAATAAAAGTGAATAATACAAAACTTTCATTTGTTCTAAATTATCTTATCCTATCTTTATATTGCTACCGTAATGGTTAGCAAAGAATCGATTTACAAAGACAGATATGCAAATAGTACAGTGCATTAAGTGTGGCTATAAAATCATTTGATTTTATACGAATGATTCCATACTTGTCTTAATTCTAGTATGATGACTCATTCGTATGGATATCCGATTCAGAGGTACAAACCGGTAATCTACACCCCAT